CTGCCTCTTCTTTAACAGAAGGGGATGAATACATCTGAGGACGACTTCAGTTAGAAACAGATTCGACGGTGACTTCATCACGGAAACTTTCTCAGAACATTTCAGCAGTCTTTATTTTTATCTTTCCGTGAACTCGCCGTAACGAGCGACAGCAGGAAGCTCTTGACTGATCAGCCAGAGGGAGCGAAGAGGTCGACGTGATCGCTGCTCCACATCTGGACGGAGGAAACATGCAGCTCGCTCTGTGGTTCTGCTTCCTATCAGGTCAGGACGGACTTTAACGCGTTGATCTGTACGTTTATTTATTTATTTAACCGATGCTCTCACATGGATTTAAACACAGTGACACAGTTTGGGCTCATTTTTTTACTGTCAACATGTAAATGATTATGAGGTCTGACTGAGTATTGTCCCGTAATTGTAATTAAATAAAATGGGAAATACATAAAGTTTTATTTAAATACAGAAACTGTGAAATTTTATGTTCAAACATAAAACAACAAATGAATATTTGTAAAAATGCAGATGTTTAAAGATTATTTACAGATTTGGCCTGTTTTTTATAATTAACATGTCAATCAAAACCTTTTTTTTGTGATTTTACTTGTTATATTATTTGTAAATCAACTCACAGAAATGAACCAACTGCAGTTATTTACTATTTTTCAGTTCTAAATAAACAGGATTTTTTATTTTTTTTTAACAATGCAAAGATCTGTAAAATAACAAGCTAATTTAAACACAGTAAATAATCGTGTAATTTTACAGTCACGCTTTGCAAAAGACTGAACTAGAGTTTGTAAAAAATGAAAATAAAAATACAGATTGTTGATGTGGACGTTATGTACAGGCCGTTGTTTTCTGTCTTTTTTTTTTAGCTATGAATTAATTTTTAGGTGATTTTACTCAACGAACCAGAGACAATCCATGAAAATAACATTTTTTGAGCTTGAATTTTTCTGTTAAAAAACATGGTGTGTGTTTGTTGTTCGGACCGGCTCAGCAAAAGGAGAGACTCAAAAACTAAAGCTCGTCTTTATTCACTTAAATGATACCAAACCAAAGCCAAGCCAGTGTGGGGTTGTGAGAGAACATAGAGTCAGTGGTGTGTGTGTGATGGATGCATGAACTGTGTGTGTGCAAGAAAGCTCACCCAGGACCAGACGGTGTGTCACCAGCAGAGGGCAGCAGAGAGCCGCTAGACCCAGTCAGCAGCACTCTGGGGGTCACAGGTGCTCCTGATTACATCAAACAGAACCAACAGAACCAGCAGACGAACCAGAACCACCCACAGAACCAGCAGACGAACCAGAACCACCCACAGAACCA